CCAAACTATTGTACGTTTGTTACTCATTCAACCCATCTATAAACTGTATAGGGTCTTATAACAAAATCAAGTTTTCATTGTTTGGGTATTATAATACTCACAAGAAAGACATTACTGAAGTTAAAATACAAGTGTGATGATTGTATTAGCATCCTGTTTAACATTTGTATTAATTTTGTTTTTATACTCCTTTACTTCATACATAATAGGGAATTGGCTTCCTAAAGACACCGATTGTATAGTGTACAAAGTGTTGAGTATTCTATATATATTATAGTCATCTAATGCTCATCTGATATTGGTTTGTTTGTTTGGTTGAAGTTAAGCAAAAAGCTACACAATGGGCTATCTGTGCTCTGCCCACAGACATTCTGCTGTGCCACTGGGGGACATCTATTATTGTCCTGTAATTCCTGTTTCACCCTGTACTTAAGCTTTTTAAAGGAACACCAGATTTCTGTAAAAAAGCTAACTTGAAGGAATAATGATTTATTTACACTATAATTATATTTTTCATGTTTAATTACTACTAGTTATTACAACCAACCGAAGACATTGTTCACTCCTCAAAAACACATTTAGGTTTAAATTGATGTCGGTGATAAAGTACTTGTAGGGTTATCTTCGACTGAAACAACAACAACAAGAAGAAAGATGAACAATTTGGTGGTTTGGTATATTAGCGATGGTTTCTTGCCTTGTTAGGTAAAGAAACATGAATTTGAGTAGCAATAATCTTTTAACTCTCTCAGCGCAGGCTCGGTCCGTGCGACTGATCTCGTAACCATTTTGTACTTCTTATAGTTTTCATGCTATAACTTTTAAATTAGTAAGCAAATGTTTATGAAGTTTGCCAGATTATAAATAAACATTACAATGTTTTCATATGCAAAATATCAATTTTTGTTATTAATTCTTAAAGTAATGTTTTTCTCTTGCCTTTTTTTTTCTTTTCACACATTGCCTTTCTATCGTGCAAAGTAATTTTCATTTTAAAATTAAAAATACTTATGTATCAGAAAATTTTCAAATTTCATATTTGAAATCTTTATAACGTTCAGATAGTTATCAAACATTTCTTAAGAAAAAACTTTATATTTTATCTGTTATTTTCAGTAATTAATCTCTGTTCATTTGACCGATCTCGTACCCACCATAAAAAATTAGGAAATTATGCTTCTTTCATTCTAGAATGAACACAAATTATAACACAAAAACATAAATGTTTAGACTAAATATTTTAAATCTCATAACATTATACATTTATATATATTTATTATATTGACCTTTCAGCCACGCCTGGCTAACAATATAGAAGTTACAATGATGCGGCTCAAGTGCACTCATGTTACTATATCAAATACTATAAAACTGACTTGTCTTGGCTGTGTTTTAGTAGGCTAGTATTTTTTTTAAATACAGTCATATTTCTTAAAATAGAACAGTAACTAAAGAAGTAAAGCATCTTTTTTAGTTACGACCTTTGTACTCAGTTGCTTCTTGATGTAAGTTGCTAAGCCTTTAAAAATTTTGCATCTGGAGGATATGAAACAAAATATTTTTTTTCTAGGTTTTATATATACATTTGAATAACTAACAAATCATAAATTACTACATTAATACCAACTATTTCATCTAAACATTTATATTTTCGTGTTATAATTTGTGTTCATTCTAGAATTAAAGAGGCATAATTTATATTTATTTCCCAATTTTTTATGGTGGTTACGAGATCGGTCAAATCTACCGAACCTGTACAAAGATTAATTACTAAAAATAACAAATAAAATATAAAGTTTTTTCGTAAGAAACAATTAATAACTATCTGGATATTATAAAGATTTCACATATGAAATTTAACTTTGCTTGTTAGATAGGCAACGTGTGAAAAGAAAAAAAAAAGGCATGAGAAAAACATTACTTTGCAAACCTTAAGACCTTACTAAAAAAATTTGACATTTTGTATATGAAAGCATTGTAATGTTTACTGATAATGTGCTACATTTCGTTAAAATTTCATTACTAATTTAATAGTTATAGCATGAAAACTATAACAAGCACAAAATGGTTAGAAGGTCGGTCCCAGAGACCGAGCCCGTGCTGAAAGAGCTAACACATTTTTAAATATTTAAAATCAATATTTTCACTGCTGCAAAAAATTTTACTTAAAAACAAAACAATCTACTTGTTTATTTATATGCCCATCCCCAAGAGTAACCTTTATTTTTACTAAGAACCTAACATCCCCTGAGAATACATGTTTCTTGATTTTCAAGTTTTTGTGCAGACCTTAGCTGAAATCTTAATATGGTGCCACATCAAATAGTTTGATTCCTTACTACTAAAATATGAAAGCAGCTGTAAAGAAAGTTTAAATCTGATGGGATAGAGGAAGAATGAGACAATCACTTATTAATATATAGGTTTAAGAAGGTTTTGTTTTATAGTTTCTGTGAAAGTATGTGTGTTTAATTATATCTGCTTGAAAGCTACAGAAATTGTCTTCAACAAGAAGACATCAGATAACTTGAGATAAGATAAAAGTCAGTTTGCTTAGCACACCTTTCACCATTATCTGGATGACACGGCAACAACTGGTAGAGAAGTAACCAGTCCAATATCTGGATGACACGGCAACAATTGGTAGAGAAGTAACCAGTCCAATATCTGGATGACACGGCAACAATTGGTAGAGAAGTAACCAGTCCAATATCTGGATGACACGGCAACAATTGGTAGAGAAGTAACCAGTCCAATATCTGGATGACACGGCAACAATTGGTAGAGAAGTAACTGATCCAGTATCTGGATGACATGGCAACAATTGGTAGAGAAGTAACCGGTCCAATATCTGGATGACACGGCAACAATTGGTAGAGAAGTAACTGATCCAGTATCTGGATGACATGGCAACAATTGGTAGAGGAGTAACCAGTCCAATATCTGGATGACATGGCAACAATTCGTAGAGGAGTAACCAGTCCAATATCTGGATGACACGGCAACAATTGGTAGAGAAGTAACTGATCCAATATCTGGATGACATGGCAACAATTGGTAGAGGAGTAACCAGTCCAATATCTGGATGACATGGCAACAATTGGTAGAGGAGTAACCAGTCCAATATCTGGATGACATGGCAACAATTGGTAGAGGAGTAACCAGTCCAATATCTGGATGACATGGCAACAATTGGTAGAGAAGTAACCAATCCAATATTTGGATGACATGGCAACAACTGGTAGAGAAGTAACTGATCCAATATTTGGATGACACGGCATCAATTGGTAGAGAAGTAACTGAAAGAAGAAACCACATTCGGGTGTGAAAAGAATCTCAAATATATAAAATAACAATAAACTTGGTTTATTTGTGAACTTCATGGTAAAAACAAAACATCAAAGATTTTCAAATCCTTCAATAAAAAGCAGTCAACAACTTCTAAATCCTATCAGTCTTCGTACAATGTTACTTACTGCAATTTGACTATTTAGCTCAGCTACCTCAGAATTCAATTATACAAATTTGTTCTAACATTTCAAAAAATTTATAAAACTTAAGTTTAATAGTATTTGATGCTAATTAAATAATATTTGTGCTTTAAAGTTTCAGGTCCAATTCTTGGGAAATCAAATTTCTCATTAAGGTAAATAGCTGTCTGCTTTGGAGAAATACGTGTCCTGTTTCAGTTTGAGAACATGAAATAAAAGGTCACTAGCTTTCTTTTGTTGTTTTAATTTGGTCTAAATGAAATCTGTCATGTCTTCCAACACCCCATTTAAATTATAAGTTCCTATATAATTTCTTACAATTGTAACATATATTTTGGTACTGCCGAGACTTTAATACATGGACACCAACTCTCTCACATGCTGGAAGTATTGATAACCCAGTTCAATGCATGTAAATGAAAAAAAGGCATATTTGAAACAAACTATATGCTATTAAAAAACTTGTACATGGATACTAGTTTCAACACATTCCTGATCTTCTACTTGAGGAAAAATTAGTCAATATAACTTAACTCAGAATTCTGTTGCTGATTTAAAAGATAGCAAAACCAAGTGTTTAAAGTTATTTCTAATAATGTTATTGTATTTATATTTCAATAAATTCACATTGTAAGATAAAAAACAAGGTCCTTGGCAGTCTTGTGAAAATTAAACATAAAAAAATCACTTTAAAATGCCAACATTAACAACCAAATTATTTCTAAATGTGACAGAAAACAGTTATGTTAATTTGAAAGAAACTATATCACAAAAGCCAATCCAAGTTTCATTCTTCAAAACCTGCCATACTAAACATTTCTAACGGTCACTTTAAATTAAAAATTTTCTGTAAAACAATCCTCGGATCTAGAGCCAAGTGATATAGTCGATTAGTATCCTATCAACTAATTAAAATTAAGGTTTCTAAATACTGTCATTCTTTGTCATTAAGTGCAGAGCTACAAAACAGATTATGCTGCCAGGTAAATTTTTTTATCTTGGCTTTTTTTAAAGAACTAACAATGTATCTAAACTTTACAGATTTGTTTTCATCAGGGATTGGTTACTCCTCTAGTAGCTAGACCGTTATGACAACAGTGAAATGCCCAACAGATGTAGAGACATGATGTTAAAGGATTGTGATCTTCCAGTAAAGTTGAACCAGAAAAAGGTGTGAAGACTTGAGTTCTATGATTAAGGATGGTGTAATATTATTACTGACTTTTTTAAGCAACTGCTTTTACATGTGTTAGTTAAATTTGTAATTGAATGGTAGAAGATTTAATCTAATAATATTAAATTATTTTATGTATACCTTTTCTTTATGATATTTACAAGTTCAAATGTCTAATGAATCCTTCCTTTGTTTCAGTAAAGGAAGACAATAAGAGCTTTGAACAAAGACTTACACCCTCTCTTCTACCTGCTGTCCAACTATCAGGTATGTAGATCTGATCTTTCTGTTAACTTTCCACGTGTAAGAACTTTACTATCTAGATCAGAATCATTTATAGTTGAGGGTGGAGCTGTTAACTAGCTACCTTTCTTTAGGTCTACGAGTAAATAACCATTTGTCTAACTTTGTACTAAAATAAAAGATTGCTTTTTTTTTCCATGTTTAACATGTGAATATTTAAACTCACTTCTGTGTTTTAAAAGAAAAATTAACAATATTTAACTATTTCATTACATACAAGTGGAATAATTCTTTTTAAATTATAAAGTTCCAAAAGGATTGTTCTTGTTTCATTAATTGTTAGAATTTGTTAAACTACAAAAACATCGTTATTTGAGAATGGGTTGTAATAGTTGTACATTCTCGGTTACAGGATGAAGTGGATATCCAGACATTTTTGGAGTTTTTACAAGGAATAATGGGTAAGTTATTTATTTGAGTATTTTTAAAGTGTTGAGTTAATATTATAGCAGATGTGTGTTTGGAGATATGTTTTTATAAAAGGCCTGGTATCTCCTTATATATTTGCCATAATAGGACTTAACATTTTTTTTTACCCATGCAAACACTTTACAAAATATCCACTTTGTGTGATACCCGATTTACTGGATCTGTAGTGGGCCGTATTTTTTGCCCCAAGATCTTGGTGATTTTTTTTGTTTTTTTTTTTTTTTAAATACTAAATTTTCTATATATATATATAAAAAATAGTTTGTTTGTTTATATTTTTCATGTCTATGTACAAATATTAATAAAGTTTTTACACAATTTTCTGTCAATCATTTGTTTATTATATTCATTAAAAAAAAATTATAAGTTTTAGGTAATGAACAGTTCAATTTTTATACATTTGTAGATGTATTTGTATGTAACAAGAATGTGGTTGAAAAGTAGATACTCTAACAAAGTATAAAATGTTCATAAGCTAACACAAGTATTTTGATAGTTTTGTAACTATTACTTGTTTAAAAATTCTATATTTCCAATTACCTTAATGTTTTAGGTCAATGAGAATGACTGTACTTGAAACAATATGTATTTCTCTAGAATGTTAGTGTTCTATTATGTCCGTACAGTTATTTCTTACAAAGTAGAAAATGTACAATGTAGCAATTGGTTTGAACAGGTATAAAAGTCTACATCAGTTGATAAAACTAAACTAAGGAAGTTTTAATAAACATGACAATTGTATGTGAAATGTTTCTAAACAACTTTAATTCTAGGTTAATCAGTTCAGAAGAAGAACGTACTCTCCATTTCAAGGATTGTGGGAGCTGTTGTGGTAAGTTGTTTAATTTATAATGCTTATTTCACAAAGCAACCAATAACTGATTCTTTATTAAATATAATAGAAAAGGTTGAAATTGATATAAAACATTTATTTCTTACAACCAAGATATGTTTTATTTGATCCTCAGCTGTTAACCCTTTAGAAACTGTGTAGTGAATAGGGCTTGAAGTTCAGTAATGTTATTGATAAGTCAGTCAGTGTACATTTTAAAGAAAGCAATGATAATTTATATATTACTTAGAGAACACATTTGTAGACATTATGTAGTTGTTAGCCTTCTATAATTGCAGTCATGTGTTTCAGAGGGGATGAAATCCATACGAGCTACTACGTTAATCTTGTACAGATAGTACCAGTGACTGGTTAGAAGACATCGTTTACTATTCTCATGTAAGTCATTTATTGAAATTTGTTTAGAACTGGTAACTAAATGGCTGTTATAATAGAAAATATGACACTTAACAGATTCTCTACTAAGTCTAATAAAACATTATTTTGTGTATCTTTGTAATAAAGACTTTATTAATATTTTGACATGTATATATAGTAGAAATTAATTCTGTTATAAAAACTTATAATTTTTTAATGCTATATTTGGACTTAGTAAAAATGTTGTTTGATGAATAAAATAAACAGATGATTGAAAATTGTGTAAATACTTTATTAATATTTGTACAACATGTATATATATAATAGAATTTATAATTCAAAGTTACAGAACAGTTGAAGTGTATAATCATTAGATACCATGACCATTTACAAGGTATTTCAAGTAAAAATAAAGAGATATTTTTAACAGCAGTGTCCTCTCTGTATTGAAAACACATGATTATTTTACTTTAATTCTAGAGGAACCAAAAGGTGATTTATTTTGTCTGTTTGAGAAATTAAACCATGTCATACTCAAACTGATGCCCAAGTTATCATCATTCAACATAAA